TTCTACATTTTTGAGTCGCACGAGCACAATCACAACACTACACACAAGTCACGCACATTAAGTCATGTCATGTCACCATATCGAGTTGGGTCTACACTCTACACACGTGAGTCTACATACACGAGTCATGTCATGTCAAATCACATCGAGTCGAGTTGAGTACATTAAGTCATACAATGAATCAAGTACACCAAGTCTTGGGTCAACCCCAAGAAAACCACCAGCAAAGTCCTTTGGCAAAATTTGGTTTTACAAGATACACCAATTCATCGAAGCTTCTATTTGCAGCCAATCGAACACTCTCACCATTCGTCACCTATCCATCAAAGCTTCTATTCGGAGTCAATCAAGCAATCTCGCCATTCATTACTCTCGTTCATTGAAACTTGTTTGGAGTCAATCGAGCAATATCACCGTTCATCCTTTTCAAAGCTCTTTTCTTCAAAGACGCGTGGACATTTCTTCCAAAGCTCCTTTTGTTCAGAGATGTGTGGACATTCCATTCAAAGATCTTGTGTTTAGAGACGCGTGGACATTCCTTTCAAAGCTCTTTTGTTCAGAGACGCGTGAAAATTCCTTTTAAAAGATCTTTTGCTCAGAGACGCGTGGACATTCTTTTTAAATCTCTTTTGTTCAGAGACGCGTAGACATTTATTTCAAAGTTCTTTTGTTCAGAAGCGCGCGTGGACATTCCTTTTAAAGCTCTTTTGTTCAGAGACGCTTGGACATTTCTTTTAAAGCTCTTTTGCTCAGAGACGCGTAGACATTCCCTTCAAAATTAAAGCTCCTATGTTCAGAGACGCGCGGACACATTTCAGATCGATAGCGCTCCCTGAGAATGAGGAGGTTGTCACCAGATTCGAGAAGACAACTCAAAGCGAAGTGGTCTTCGACAACGCTCCCTGAGAATGTGGAGGTTGTCAAAACAAAAAAGAGTTAACAAGATGTCACCCAGAGACGTGTGCTCGGCAATCCTAGATACGTATTTCTTTCCCCATAACTCCTTTATTTGTAGAATTGACCTTTTCTACAGGTATCGGCGTTAAAAGGATGATTTAAGATCGCAAAACGTTCTAGTTCATTCTCCGTCCCTATCGACTTACTTTGACTATTGTTTAGAAACTTACACTTCTCCTAACTCAGTCAAAGTGGGGGATTCCGTAGACACCTGATTGTGTCTCCCAAACACCAAACCCAGTGATGAGTGTCTTTCACTTTTTGATTGATGAGTTCGGCAAAGAGTTGAAAAGTCGCGCAAAGTTTCCTTAAGCCTAGACCGTTTTTCTAAACTTACCAAAAAAAATTTAACCAAAATCATTTATTTCGTGTCTTAAACTCAAAACATTAATTTCGTGTCCTTAAAATCATTCATTTCATGTCCAATTTATAAAAACGTCCAAACTTGATTGTTTTAGTCCATGTTCCCAGCACAATTATTGTTTAGTTTGGGGCTTGAAAATAGCTTTCCAACAATATATTATAAGCCCAAATCCGACTTAAAACGAATAAGTTATGGCCAAAATACTAAACTGAGCCCAAACCGAGCCTAAGTCCACCTTACCTACGACCCAATGATTATATGGAGTCCAAATATTTTATTTAGGCCCTATATGATCATATTCCCAATCCTAAATCAGTTAGGAGCTTCTAGAATCCTATACAAGGTTCTAATTTATCCTTTTCGAAAAGATCAAATAAGTTCGAGATTGAATAAAACTTCTCATTAAATAATCCTTGTTCTATTCGAATACGAAGACGTCCGTATATCTTCTACAAACATAATTCCATTAGAAATCAAACTCTGTACGGCTTTACTATCCTTTAGGACCAGCGCGCAACGTCAAGACCATCGCACTGCAACAGTCCTGACGCAGCGCGACAGTACCCAGCGCGGCGCGACAATCTTGTCGCATCGCGTCAAAAGTTGTTTTATATTATTTATAACTTCTGATCTTTTTGTGATCGACAGACTCCCTTTTTTCTTATAAATAGAGGTCGTTTTTTCCCGTTTTGAAATCAGCTAGAATAAGCTTGAATTAGCCACAATCATCAAGAATCCTTATCAATAACCCATCATCAATTATTATTCTCAATTCCAATGTTCTTAGCCATAGCCTAAACACATCTTTGATACTCCCAAAATCAAACACAATACTTCCTTTACATGATTCGAATACTCCAAACCATACTCGATGTTGCCTTCGACCTCAACGTGAAAGGTTGATAGTTCTGAGGGTTTGGTCCCAAATCTACATTTCAATTCATATTTAATTTATTTACTTTATTGATTAAACTTTCTTGAAGTTTACTAACGTGTGTATTGTTTTAATAGCAAGAAGGTTGACGCATCAAAGTGAGTAATTCAATTACCCTTTTGTTTATTCTTTTGATTTTGGAGTAAAAATCATATTTAGGATGTTATTTTGACTTCTAGTATCGTGTTTAGGATAACGCTTTGATTTTGTTATTCGTGACATGCTAGGATTGTTATTAATCTGTTATTATCATGCCTAGGATCTTACTACTAACGATTTTCTTACAATGATGATTGTTATATATATTGATCATATGTTGCTTGAATATTCATGATTTATTACTATTGCTTGATCAAGCTCTTTCTCAGGTTTAAAGGGAATTTGTACTTGAAATCACACCTAATAAGATAATTAATAATTGGATTTAGTCTTAATATGATTTTAATTCAAGTGATTACCATTATTAGATTGATTGTGCATTAATAATCAACCAACATAGATTAAACAGGTTTAGGGTTAATTTGATGTATGTATGTTGATCAAAAAGCGCGCATGAATATCATAAGAATTAAGTAGAGGCCTTATTAGGGCGGGTCTGGCTTCTCTTAGGTCAAATTCGTACCATCATCCCCGAACATTCAGTCATGGTTCCAGACCACTATGGAGTTAGCAATCTCTATTATTGTGAATGGGGTGTAATCTTCACAATCATGAACGGTTTACAGGTTCCTAAAACTTGTTGGCGACTCTTTTTTCTTTAGCTTCTTTTCCTTGGAGCGCCTCCATGCTTAAAAACATGACCCACATGTAGGGCCCAAGGAGTTGGAAAAATTCCCTACAATTCTATTTTTCGGAATTTCTCTATCTAAAATTATTTTTTCCCAAATAATAATTCAAGATTTCATTTTCAAATTTCAAAAATTCAAAGTATAAAATTTCATTTTCTAAATTTCAGCTTTCAGAATAATATATGAGTTAAAACAAACGAACATGAGCGTAGAAGAACATATTTTTCAAGTAAAAAGACCATACTTCGTGTTATTAAAAACCAAAGAACTCTTTTAATCTACATGCTTTAAAGAACATAATTTGTAATGTAATGAACATATGATTGAGACCCAAATAAAGAACATATTGATCAGACTCAAAAAACATAATTTTTTTTTCAATTATAAAAAAAATGAATATGGATCCAAGAAATGAAAATAATAAATAAATAAATAAATAAATAAAATATTCAACATAATTTAAAGAACATCTTTTTTTATCTCAGAAAATAACCCAAAAACAGATCTAAATAAATAAATAAAATTAAAAAAATATCTTTTCTCTCAACAACGAATTTGTCAATCCAATCTTTTATTAAAGATTCATCGAAATGATAAATTAAGATCAACTCCGTAATAACATTGAATCACTTATAAATTCAAAATTTGCCATTGTTTCTCTCTGTATAAAAATATGAAATTATGTTAACAAATTATTATGAAATTAGGTTAGAACCCGTGCGATGCACGTTTTATATAAAATCTATTTTTATAATTTGTACATATAAGAATTATACACCTTGTACAAAAATATTTGTAATTTTAAAAGTTTAGATTTTTATCAAAATTATGATATAATAATACCTGTTCAATTTCTCCTAATACATATTTCAATGTAGGAGTCCATTTATTAGTATGCTATTTACAATTGTTTCATTTTATAGGATAAATTGATAGGTTGTAGTCGTAATGTATAAGCTTCTAATATTCAAATTTCAAAATTGTTAAATATGGTAGCTCCACCAAAAAAAAGAAAACATTATCCTTGCATTTAGGCGGGGAAAAAATTATTATGAGAATGACATGTGGATAGTGATGATGTCAGCAACGTTTTGTTTTAGTAATAGTTAATAGATGTAAATAATAAATCAATTTCTTAAATCAAGAAATATGAATAACAAATCAATCCCTTAAATCAAGGAAATAATTATTTTGAACTGTTTTTTTGCTTGTGTTCTTTAAATTAGTATATAATATTCTTTCTGCATTTTTTACCAGGCTTGTATTTTAACCGAGTTTACCATGCGCATGGTACACCTAGGTGCATGAAGAAATTTCCAACAACTGAAAAAGTGTAGTAAACAGTGCAAAAGTCAAATTAGGTCAATTTTAAAAAAAATAATAAAAAATGAGAAAGTATATCATACAAATATACAATAGACACATCCTTAAAACAGTTAACTTGATGTAACCTTAACGTTGCTACTCTTGGGCCTCTTGGCCTCATATGGCTATGGATAAAAACAAAATAGTCAATCTAAATTATCCATTTAAAATTATGATGTCTAATCCTTGATGAAAAGTGTTAGAAATGACATGATCCAACTAATCTATTCTATTAACTATTACTAAAACAAAACGTTGCTGACATCACCAACCTTTAATTTATAATACGTGTCATTATCACATTAAAAAATTTCCCTCCATTTCTATGTGTGATGTCATTAATTATTAATTTTTTTTTAATCTACACTATACATTTTTCAAACAAAAAACAATTGCCACTTTTTTTTTACACAAATGATAAATTTTTTTTAAGCATAATAAAAAAATTATTCAAATCGTGCAATGCACGAGTCTAATCTAGTGTCTATTTATTTCGTAATTAACTTGAATCAAATTTTAACGTGTGATAGTTTGACCGATGACTCAATAATTTATAATGACTTAAATTTACAAAACTTTATTCGATTAGACTGAGGCCTCATTTGGTTGACATGGGAATTAAATTCCCATAGGAATTTGCATTTCATAGGATTTATTTCCCTAATTAAATTCCTAGAATTTCATGAACTTGTTTGGTTGACAATTTGGGAATTCAAAATTCCCATGAATTTGAATTGACCAAAAGGGGGCTAGGTAATTTACTTCTTTTATTTTGTGGCCCATGAATTTTGATTGACCAAAGGGGGGCTAGGTAATTTACTTCTTTTATTTTGTGGGAAGTTAAAATTCCCATGAATTTCCACTTCCCCCTTTTTGCTTTTATGTATCAACCAATCTTCTCAATTTATTAAATCCCATGAATTTTCACTTCCTCCATTTTAAATTGTCAACCAAACAAATCAAATCTAACCCTATAATCTGAAATAACACCTCTGGCATAAATTTCTAACACCCATTACTTTACCAATATTGTCAATCTATATAATTAACACAAAGCATCAAATTATCAAAATATGCCATCTCCTTAAATCCCTAATGTCCCTATACATTAAAAAAAAAAAAAAAAAAAAAAAAAAAAAAAAAAAAAAAGGCATGATCGTGGACTAAAAAAAAAAAAGCACGGTCGTCAATAGTCCACATCATCCATCAACCACCATCATCATCCTCGCTCCATTCTCATAAAAACGCCAATTCATCAAATCCCAACTCATTTAAATTTCAATATTTCACAATCATAAACATTCTTCCCAAAAAAAAAAAATGTTGATTTCTTCAATCAATTATTGGCTAGTTCATCACCCAATCATAACCAATTTCGAATGGAACCCTGAAATTACTCATTTCTCCTCACTCCAATTCCTCATTCTCACAACCCTCACTTACCTTTCTCTCACTTTCCTCCTTTCTCACTCCTCTCTCTCTCCTCTCCCACCACCCCTCCTCCGCTTCATCTCCGCCGTCCATAATCTCATCATCCTCCTCCTCTCTTTAGTCATGGCCGTTGGATGTTCGCTCTCCACCTTAACCCAAATGCCTTCACCCCACTGGATCTTTTGCTTCCCCGCCAATCAAACCCCGCCACGTGGACCCGTCTTTTTCTGGAGTTACATCTTTTACCTCTCTAAAATCGTTGAGTTTATTGACACACTTTTGATTATTCTTAGTGGGAGTCTTGGACGGTTGTCGTTCCTCCACGTGTACCACCATTCAACGGTTCTGATTATGTGCTACATTTGGCTTGAAAGTTCTCAGTCGTTGTTTCCGGTTGCGTTGGTGACGAATGCGAGTGTGCATACTGTGATGTATGGGTATTATCTGATGTGTACGTTTGGGATTCGTCCGTCATGGAAGAGATTGGTCACCAACTGTCAGATTGTTCAGTTTGTGTTTAGTTTTTTGGTTTCTGGGGTTATGTTGTTTATTCATTTTACGAGATATCCTTGCTCTGGGATTTTGGGTTGGTGCTTCAACGCTGCGTTTAATGTTTCTCTTTTGTATTTGTTTATTGATTTTCATTCTAAGAATTACAACAAGAAAAAACAATTGAATATGGTAGGAGATAAGGATAAGGTTTTGTGATTTTTTTTTTCTTTTGCCCGAATGTAATTGCGAATTAGACTTGTGGAGCCTTTTTCTTGTTTAAACATTCAAAATAATGTAGCCGCTAGTATTAGTTATTGGTCGAATAATATCCCGAATTGTGTGACTGTGTGTAATATCAAATTGACTACGGAGTTGAGGTGTCAAAATCGAACTGATATGAAAAAAATCATTAGCTTTGATTTGTAATTGATCCGATTTGATCTGATAAATTCAGAACCCAAATCCGATCTGTTATCGATCTGAACTTAATCCGACACCGATTTGACCTGACTTGAACTCAACTCAAACTCGATATGACCCGACTTGAACTCAAACAGAACCGATTTGACCCAATTTGAACTCAACCCGATCCGAAATGACCCTACAAATAACCGATTTAATCCGATCTGTTTTAACGCGAACTGATATTAACCCGACCCGATTTTAAACCAATCCGATTTTAACTAGATCCGATTTTAACCCGGCCATAATTTTAAACCTAATCTATTATTGACCTTTTTTTTTAAGTTCTTATACTTTTATATATTTACAAATTTACTAATTATTACACGTAATAAGTTACAAAATCTAAAACTCTTGACAAATATCTTATACAAATTGAATTAGTAATAAAGCAAACTAATAGTACTTGTAGCCTCATGAGATTAATTAAACAACTGAAGAGTAGTACCTTAAAAAGAGCACATTCTTTTTTGTATATCACCATTTGTGACTATCATCTATCAATTTATTAGTAGTTCATTACTAATCGTCCCACTTATGTACGTAGGTATGATAAGTCATCGATAATTATTCAATTTAAATTTGGCTCCAAGATAAATATTACACAAGAATTGATTAAATGAGAGAACTAATTCTTCGCATTTCGTAATAATTAACCACGCAATATAAGAAATGACACATGAATGACTTGATATCGATCCAATAATAAGGTAAAAATTCAATAATTACTCTAATTTAAAAATGACCTTATTTGGATATTGAATTTGGTCAACTCAACCAAAATATAGACAAACACAAAAAGAATTTGAATCGGAATTGACCAAATACTGAATCAACCTTATCTTAATCAAACCGAAATCATCCGAACCGAAATCATCCGAACCGAAATCAACCAGACCCAAATTCATCCAACCTGAAATTAACTTGATCAAACCCGTTTTGAACCCGATTCAAATTTATCCAAACCGAACATGAACCGATCTGGAATTGACCCGACCTATATCCAACCAGGACTCGATAGACCATGACTCAAATGTGACCCAACCCGAATTCGACCGACCGACCCGATCCGAGTTAAAAGAATAATTTTGATCCGAACATATCAGACCCGACCTGAATAGACCCGACTCAAACTCCATCCGATTATCCGAATTGACACCTCTACTACGAAGTGTGCATTGTGACTATTGATTTTACTATGTACACGTAATTAAAGTTTCATTAGCAAAAAGGCCCTATCAACTATTTACATACTTCCACCCTTTTATTAAAGTGACACAATTTAATAAATTGATTTATTTTTTTGTTAACATATTTTCAAAATTTGTACTCCTTCTGTTTTTTTAAATGTATCAGTTTAATCGACACATTTATCGAGATATAACTTTGACCATTAATATCTTTAATTATCTATTAGTAAAAATTGTAACAAAATTAAATTATGAAAGTAGTCATTGTGATGAACTAATGATATATTATATAATACATTTATTTATTTTATAATAGCAAAACAATTAAGTCAAATATGGCACGTGAATAGTGCAAAAGTCAGATGGTCCATTTAACAAAAAAAAAAAAAAAAAAAAAAACAAAGGGAGTAGAATTTTATATTTTATCACTTTTTCAAACACCTATTTTAGATTTAACCACTTTTTTTAATATTATTGTAAATTACTACCAGTAAAATTAAAAATACCGTGACACTTGATGAAAAAAATCGTACTCCCAAGTGCAAGATGCACCAAAGTTATTATTTGCTCATTTGATGATTAAATAAGCGATAAACATCATCATTTAATCATCATATTTTCAGCTGTGTGGCCCACTTATATAATTTCCCTCCCCTTTTCACCTCTATTTCCACGATTTTCCCTTAATCTCATCAAAATCCTAGAAAGGCCGAAGAATAAGAGTTAAAATAATACTCCTTTTTTTTTTTAAATACATCACTTTCTTTTTTATAGATTTTTTTTTAAATGCATCACTTCTATATTTGGTAATTAACCTTATAATATATTTTATTATTGCTTTTTCTTACTTTAAACCCCACTTAAATTATTTTATCATTTCTCTCTCTCCCATGATCCCCACTTAAATAATAAAAATAATTGTTCTCTCGCATACTTTCTCGGTCCCCATCTAACGTTTATGATAATAAATTATTTACCAACTCACAATGTTATATTACTCTCCTAAGTTGTAAAAATTTCAATTTTTCTATGAAATTTGTGTGTAGTAGAGAAACGTCATTATCGTCATTAAAACCACCAAAATAAGCCCATTGCATCATCAGCACAAGCAACGACAGAAATTAGGGGTGGTGGCAGGGTTTATCAATAACAGTATGTAGAGCAAGGAGTTCGTGGCTAGGTTAAACCATCGGTAAATGTCTAGTTTCTAATGGTTTTGAAAGCCCTCGAAATATTCTTGCAGTCACAAACTATATTGATGGTTGGAAGTGTGAATGTTTTGTATGTGGGGTGAAGGGTCAGGTAACAAGGAGTTGGGAAGTGTGTAATACCTCGTATTTTTTATGTGTTATATAATTTATTTAGTATGTGTAAAATATAGACATTTTCATGTATTGTTGATTTTTTTTTTTAGGAAATCATGTATTACTGTTGTTATTGCTACTGTAATATATGTTTTCATTACTTTTTTTATCTAAATTTTGTAAAATATGGAGAACAAATTATTTTTTTTTTAGCGGAATAGGGTGATTTCATTAAATAATAATAGTCATTCGGTACTTATATACAATCATCTTTTAAGATAGCTAAATTCTCAATACAAGTATTTAACACCTCTAAACTAACGACATCGCTTCTGAACTGTTCCTGAATAATTTTAGATGTCTTTGCATCGCTTTTGACGGAGCTTCATTGATGTATAGTCGCGAAAGTGATAAAACTTGATTGATCATCAAGATCGGCAAATTTGCAAGACGAATCTTCTAAATCAATGGACCCACAATTCCACAAATTTGCAAGACGAATCTTCCAAATTTGTATCCTTGTACACACGAAAAACAAACAAACAAACAAACAAACAAACAAACAATACTAAAAATCTTACTATTAGGGAACCAACTAAATCCTATATGGAGGGACTGACTATAATCACCATACTATTGTTGATCTTTATTGGCTAAATACATTAAATTGAAGAAGAATTTGAGGCTTATTATCGATAAAATTGATGGCAGCCCCTAAGTTTTATTATGGTGGCTAGGTTTGAAGAGAAAAAAACAGAGAATTTTTTTAGGGTTTATTTTTAGAACAAATTTTGATTAAAATAATGTGGTTATGACTAAAAAAAAACAATTCATTAGCGACAAGGCATACTACATCAACAAAAAAAGAGATTCTCTCATATTATGGATAATGTAAAAAATTCTGCAAAACATAACCAGTAATATAATAAATAGAACAGGAGAGTATAAATTTAACAAATACATAAAATATGGATCGGAATTAAGCAAAGGAGGTTATGACTTTGTTTTTTTACTAGTTTACCTCCCGTACGATGTAACAAAAAGAACACAAATTTTACTTCATCCATTTTTTTTATAGTGCCCCATACCCTTGGGCAGATAGTTGTAGGCAAAAAAAAAAAAGTATAAGTGGGTATGGTTAGTTGGGGATTTTCCCCAGCCAATCATCATCTGACACGTGGACCCTTCAGGTCCTGCCATGTGTCCGCCACATGGACCAGCTGGAGCCTGCCACGTGTCAAGCGATGATTAGTCCACCTTGGACCAGTTGTGCCACGCCATGTGGCCCCCCCTATGCCAAATGGAAAAAAATGGCCACCAAGGCCCAGTCTTCGGAAGAAGCCCAATCAGCCCTAGGTTGACCTAAACCTAAGACTGGCACGCTTCCCAAGGCATATAAATACCCTCATTAATCCTCATTAAAAGGGGGGTTAAGCACTTAATTACACTCACCTAGAGTACCTAAACACAAGATCTCTCCTCACCTAGGGGAACCGATCTTCCAACCTTTACTTTTCCACACTATTCACTCCTCAAACAAGTACTAACTTGATTGTAGGAGGCGGAACTCCCACCACAAGGAGTCTCCGTTGTTTTGCAGGTACAGGCGCAAGGATACCAGTCCCAGAATTGTAACTCTCCCGCAGGACATCAGAAAACCCCAAAGCATTTTGGCGTCGTCTGTGGGGAGAGTACTTTCGAGATGGAACCATAGTCTGTACCGACCCTAAGTGACAAGCGTCCCATGGACGACCCCCTGGTTCAGACGGACCAGGATACTGAAAATGAGGTTGAGGTCGAGACTCACACGGCCCCCGACAGGACCTTAAGAGCTCGACGAACTCGTTCCTCTGAAAGAAAGGATCGACAGGATTTCCTGGCTGGTTCTAGTAAACCAGCCGGTCAGCCGCTTGATCACCAACAGGCGGCCGAGGGATCTGCTCCCATCATTAGAAGTGAACTTGTGACCTTCATGAACAGCTTCAAAGGAGAGATCCAGGATCTCATCAACAAAAAGACGCCTGCTCCATCCAAGGAGCAGTCGGCCAGAAGACCCTCCCAGTTAGGGAGGAAGAAGCTTCTAAAAGATCGAGAGGCGACTCCTTATCCTAAGTCTAGGAACTGGGAACCACCTGTGATCGATCTAACTAAGTACCGATTCCCTTCTCCAGGGAAAAGAAAACCCATCCGTCAAGCGGATGGGTCAAAGAAAATATACTCTGATGCTCGATTGTTGCTAGAGCAAAAGGAGAGTGACCGACTGTCGGAGTCGGCCTCTACTTCCGATTTTCAAGACAGTTTGCACAATACCACCATGAGGTGTTCA